TTAAAAAAAAAAAAAAAAAAATAATTAAAATAATTGAAAAACTAGAAATAGTTCATTATTATACATTATTATATATTTAGACATTATTAAAAAAAAAGTAGACATTATTAAAAACTAGACATTATTAAAAAGACATTATGAAAAAAAATTAGTCATTATATTCATTATTATAATTCATACATAGTTTGTATAACATTTAAATAACCAATCTAAGTTTTGTACGTGTTTTGTTAAATATTCGCGCGCTTTTTTCTTTTTAAGTTAATTGACATTAACGAAAATAGTAATATGATAGATTTTTCTTTTTAATCACCGAATATTTAATAATAATCACCTTTTTTTTTTTTAATAGCGAAAAGTTTTAGATCAAAAAGAAAATTTGGGCTAAAAAAAAAAGAGATCAAAATATTTTGATCTTTTGATCAAAATTCATCTGCGGGTTAATCACAAGTTGCGCCAAAAACTTTATTTATGTCATTATAATTAATATAAAATTTTGGGTCGCCTGATCCGTTAAAAGTTGAACGCACGTGTATAACTTGGAAGAAAATATTTGTTTATGTGATATTTAACAAAACGAAAATAGCTTACAAGAAGAAGTAAATATCGAAAGAAATATAAGTAAAAAATTGCATGAATGAATTATTAAATAAACTAAACCTTTCGAAGATGAATTCATGTATTCGGGAGAATGCCGGGTGATTAATTAGTAATAATTGTTCATTGGATGATTAAGTTGATGAATGATGGATGAGTCATATAAAATACCTATCATATAACGGATTTATACCTATTTTTTTTTTTTTTCTATTTTTCCTTTAAATAGATTTCTTAATAATGGATTGGAATTTCTCTTTTCGTTTTATTATAACAAATAAAATTTGCAGTTACATTTTTCTTTGTTTCACTAGTCAAATTCCGAGGACAGGGCGTGAATCCTTTTGTAATATTTTTTTAGTTAAGCGTGTTTTTTTTTATTATTACATTTATTTTTTTTATTTTATTTTTATTTTTATTTTTATTTTTATTTTTTTTTTTGTTGTGGTCCGTCATTCCATAATTTGCGTATTTGGCATGCTTTTTTGTTTGTTATTTGGTATAAACAATGAGGAAAGGGAATTATAATTAATTATATATGTAATAAAATTTATAAATGATAAAAATGTATACTGTAATGTATGCATGCCACAAACTTTGACACGACAGAATTTATTATAAAATTATGTTCCGTATATAATAATATTTATTTATTTATTATTTATTACAAAAAACATTCATTATATCATATCGCATGTCACTAATTTTTTTTTGTTTTGCGGACCTTTTTTATTCTCTCAAATTATCCAAATTCAAAAGAGGGACATGTATCATGCGATCTTTGTGTTTTGCGAACTTTTTTTTTTTTTCGCCTGAGTTATATAAATCGTTTTTTAAAGAAAAAATCAATAAATAGATAAATAGTTCATTTTTGGTTATTTGTAATCCAATTCAGGGCTGTGGCTGGGTACTATGAATTAATGATAATTATGATAATTATAGGATAATTAGTAAGTAAAAGTAGGACACAAACCATCAATCACATACATCATCGTTCATCATCATCACAATTATAACATTGGCTTATTTTATGATACACCAATGATATATATAAGGAAAATACAATTAATTTCTGTTGACAATTTCTGTTGGATTTTTTCTGCGTTGAATAAAAAAGAAAAAGTGAAAGAAAAGAAAAAAAAAAAAAAAATAGATCAAAAAATCCAAAATAATAATAATAAAAAATGGATCGATTGTCATTTTATATTTAATTCATTATCTGGTCTCACCGCATATTCAAACAATTATTATAAAAAAAAAATCGGTCAGAAATTTTTTGAAAGAAATTGTTTTTAAATGAATTTATTGTGGGTCCGTACATTCCGTACATTCCATACATTCCATACATTTTGATACATTTTGTACATTTTATTACATTCCGTAATTCCGTATTCCTTTTAAGGCTGATTAATGATTATGCAACGTTCAGGGTTTATTTTTTTTTTAAAAAAAAAAATGTAAAAATCGTAATTGTAATTGTTAATTTTATTACATTTTTGATTTTGATCTGGTTTTGTATTTTTCTTTTTAATCTTAAAGAAGATTAAAACTTGAATTATAACCTGATTTTACTTGAATAATCTCATTTTTGATTAACTATTATTATGCTGTGTTATCTTTTTTTTTACAAAGAAAAATTTACAAGTTTTACTTTTTTCATTAGTATTATAGTGTTTCATGATATAATATATAATACATATACATATATACATATATATACATATATGTATAAATTCGGTAAAATAAATATTTGTCATTATCAATTGTAAATGCAACTTAGCGTCACCCGAATTTTTTATTACTTTATCAAGTTTCGAGAATTATTTAAAAATATCACAATAGTAATTACAAAAAAGTAATATACTATACCTAGAAGGTTGGAAAAATCTTTGGTAAACTGTTTACATTTATATATAAATGTATATATTTACTTTTTATATATAATATATGCGACGCAAAGTAAATCAAAAAAAAATTTTTTTTATATTAATATAATATTTAATATATTTTAATATGCTTGTTGATAGTTTATGATTGTCAAGTCGCATGAAACAAAACTACTCAATTATAAAATGTTTAAAAAAAATCCTCCGTGTATCCGAGATATTTTGCTTTTGCATCAAAATATATAAATCCATTATAACATTGATAGGAACCACTCAAAAATTTTTTTAAAAAAAAAAAATTATTATTTTTGGAACACTACTTTTTATAAAAAAAAAAAAAAAAAACCTCCTCCCCACCCCTTACTCTTTGTAACCAATATTATTATTATTTTTTCCTCTTCAAAGAAAGTTTTCTTCGTATCAAAGTAAGCTATTTTCACTTTTTTGAACTTTTTTTTTTTTTT